CCCACCCCCATTACGCACACGACCGACATGTAAAGCGCATAATATTATATTCCCAACGGTTCCAACAGGAAACCAATGCTATCCATTCTTCGCGCACCTATATATATATCTATTTAGAGTAATACTTGGTGCCTTTCACCTCACTTCCCATCTCGCTAACCGACCAATGCTACTGCCCGCTGGTCTTACAATGCACATGCGATCCGACGGCGATATCCCTTGTGCCCCCACAAGGCTCAGCATCCTGCCCACAGCCAGGTTGGCTACAGCAGTCGGCATACCCTCTGCGAGGTTATAGTTGCCCGTGGTGACAAAGCCAACCAGGTCCCCCTCGTCGGGAACCAAGGGGTAGTCCCCCTCACCGGCTCTGGGCGGGCCCTGGTCTAATTTTGACGGTTCGAGTAGTCTTCTTGCAAGCTGCCTTTTCGGATTACCACTAGGCTTGACATCGCTAGGCCGAGATCCCTTCTTGTTTAGCATGCGCTTGTCTTCACCAAGTGGCATTAGTGACACCCATTTACTTCGCAGCTCTGCGTCTGCAGGCAGCCGGTAGATACGAGCGCATTCTGTTGGAGTACCACGTTGTATCATTGTGATCTTTACAGCGAAGACGCAGGTTGATAGTAACCGGCTGTCAACCAAAAGATGTCCATCCACAAGTTTTTTTGCCTGAACAGACGACAGCTGACGCAGTGGAGTATACCCTTCCTCCGATCGCTGATGTGAGAAGTCGGCAGTATTGTGCGTTGATGGCAAGAGTCGCAACCATTCACAAGCCCAGGGCTCTCCCACTTCACCCTTCCTGCCGTTGCCAAGATCGATGGTGGTCCACTCTATCCGCTTACCCTTTGGGCGCTTTGTCCACTCGAGCTTCCTCCATTGTCGCGTATGCAGTTCCCAGGCCCAGCCAGCATCTGTATTGGGGAAATCGTAGGGGAAGTGCGGTACTGATCGCTCAAAGTCGACTTGTCGTCGCTCTTTCAAGCCGCCAAACCGCGGATTCCCGCCCGTGGAGACGGGGTAGCGCATCATCTGTCTCCATACCGGCATAACACATTTCCACGGAAGCAGTATTGTCCACGACCTGCTCTCTCGTGACGTAAATACGAGGGCCGGTATTTTTGGGTCCGTCGGGTGCGCCTCAAGGTCTTCGCCAAGTGTGCACGCGCTTCTTCGGCGATTGATGGATTTTTGAGATGGCATGGTTCGCTGGGCGGCCAGCCTAGCGTCCGTGTTGAATACTGCCGCGGCCTTTTGCGTCTGGTCAATTGGCCAGGTTGCTAGTGCTTCGGTCAGAATCGTCATGGACTGTTGATCTTGTGCTGTTGGTGTCGTCGAAGGAGGGTCGCGGAGCCGAGGGTCTGTTATGTCAAATGCCAGCAGCGCGCCCGCTGGCAGCGAAGCAACATCTGTTACCGGGGCTAGCAAAGGCCACAGTGACTGTGGAGCACCGGCATCTGTGTCAGAAGAAGAGGATGTGGGATGAAGTACAGAACAGAGAGTTTCTGCTGCAGCAGGACCCATGATCTCGATGGAGCCAATCTCGAAGCGGGTATCCTGAACGATAACTGGTGGCTTCTGTACTTTGGCAGCCCTGATGACCTCGTTCCAGAGTGTCAAGAAAGCACTCGGATGCACACGAATGAATGCCCTCCTCTTGTCTTTCTCCGACTCTGCCACACACCAGACGATGGTGACGTGGGCGATCCTCTTTAGACGATTGTCCTCTCTTTCGTGTATCCAGCCTTCCCAAGTTCTGGTGCCATGCCTCCACTTCTTCGCTCTCCCTCTATTCTGCCATGGATCTTCTGCGCTTTCTGCACCAAAGTGTAGTCCCTTCAGCAAGCCTGTGAGGCTGGCATCAGTTCCTTGGAGACTGATAGTGGACATGTAACTCATGTCCCAGGCCACGGCTCCGCGCTGAGTTGCAGCTCTGTGAGTAAGACGGTATGCCTTGGCAGCTGGCTGCAGAGGGAGGGCAAACCGCCACAGAGGCGCTTTGGGGTCTGTCATTCTTGCGCGCTTCGTATGCCATAGATGTGTAGGCAGCCATGTCTTGTCTCTTTGCCGTCTACGGAATCGCGAGGGAGGAGTATGAGGAGTTGCGAGGGCAGGGAATATGCGTTTCGACTTCGTCTTTGGAGGAGGTGCTGGCTTTGGGGTGTCTACGGGGGGAGGGTCCATGGTGGTGTCTCCATCGTGATCCTGAGTGTGAGTTGCTGCGCAATTGCCTTGCTTTCTCTTCTTTGCCCGCTTCTCCCAATTCTGCCTGCTTTTCTCCCGACCCTCATTGCGCAGATGCTTCTTTTTGCCCTTGCCCATACCGCTACCGCTGGTGCCTCTTGAGATTGGGGTGTTGTCGTCCTTGGCCTCCTGTCGCGCCCGTTGTCGCAGTCTCTTGGGTACACGTGTGGGATTGTGGCTCGCAGTCCTCCTGCGCAACTCCCTGGGGACATCTTGGAACGCGCGCCGTGACAGGGCGTTCTTGGCTACCTTGATGGCGCCTTCCAGCGACTTGATTTCGTTCTCGTGCGACTTGAGAAAATTTGCAACGTTGATTTCGCCATTGGGATACGCGTTGCTGGTGGGCGTTGCGGGGATGACATGCTGGGGTCTTTGGGGAAATCGGGCGCGTTTGGGGGCATTGGCGGAGCCTGTGGTGGAAGCGTGCTTCCTCTTCTTTGCATTATCTGCCATGGCCGCCAGTCATCGTCGTCGGCCGCCTGGTCCTGTGCTTAAAATGACGACGACAACGGCAACGGTGAGCTATTACCTACTCTGTGCTGGGACGAAAGTATCGTACTTAATTCGTAGTGGGGCGATTATGGCGGTTTCGCTTAGTCAGTAGTGGGAGAACTCTAAATAGGTCTAATCTAGCCAATCTAGTGCGAAACTTACGAGCATCTCGGCTGTGATTGGTGCATGGACGAGTCCCCCTGCCAACGAGCCACTAATCATGCGTTGGTGCCATCGGTAATGAAGGCGCTAGCCGCATCCCCACACCAACCGTGTGGCGCGCAGTTGGATTGCAGTTGCAGTTGTGATCACGGTAGCACGTGCCATGCCCGAGCAGACCGAGCGCCGGTCGAATGTTAGCTGGACCCTCACCCCTCAGCACTGACGCGTCAGAGTCATCCAAACACCCAGCCCAGCAACTGTATTTCGTTTCATCCTAACCCCCCTAGCTTAATCATTAAATTATGTCCATTCACAACATCCTCATTTCGCGAGCTTGCGGCGAGGCTCCACTTTCTGGCCGCCCTGGTGATTACAACGTTCCCCTGCATTGCGCGCAGCTACTGCTGTGCCCTGTCCCTCTCGTGTCTTAGACAAGGCGTGCGCTTTCATGTTTTCCTGCACTCGGCCTGACCACAACAACATCACCACCACCCCTCTGCACACACAGTGTCGAGCATTGTTATCCGAGCCCTCCATTGTTCTTCCACACTCTCTACCTGCTGTGCCTAGTTCATAATGATCAACTCATACTCTACCATGTCTCCCTCATCCTCCGACCAAGTGTGCAAGTCTAGCTTCAGTCCCTTCCGATCTCCCTCGCCTAGGAAGAGATTCGCCCACGAGCGCAACCAGTCCGAGGCAGTCCAGCGGCCACGGCCTATGAGCATTTCGAGCAACTCGCCAGCAGTCCAGCATAGCAAACGAGCCTCCATCTACGTCTCGGACGCTTCCGTCATCCTTGCCCAGCGCACACCCATGGCTTCTCCTATCTCGTCTCCCGACTCCATGTATGACCCCGCCCTTGAAAGCCCAGATGCCATCGACCACTACGCCATCCTGGAAATCACCCCAAAGGCAACTACCGACGAGGTCAAGGCTGCCTATCGCCGGTTACGAGTTGTGTACTTTTCAAGCGATGCCAAGAAGTACCGAGCCCTACAGGCTGCCTTTGACACCTTGATGAACCCCGAGACCCGCGAGGTTTATGATGCAAGCTATCAACCCCGTGCAGCTGCGCCTACGTCGCTTGCTAGCATCGGCGAGATCCTGGATCCCGGAAAGCATTGGCGACAGGACAGCGCCCACGGCGACGATTCTGCAATTGCAGAGGAGGAAGAGGAGGAAGAGCAACTGCAGCAACTACAGGAGGAACCCGAAGAGCAAGAGGAGGTCCGCAATGACGACCCGAATTGGGGGCTGAAACATTACAACCCTCGCTACGAGCCAGTTCTCGGTACGGAGCCATACATGTCATATATTCCTCTGCCTACGAATCTGTTGCTCTTTTGTAGAGGACCAACATACGAGGGCAACTTTGCATTTAACGCACGGCCGAACTAAGGCACTCTCCTACCTCCTCGACTACCCCATCCAACCCTCCTCCACTACAACACGTGTCGACACGGCAATTGTCGATTTTCTTTACGATTTTTTACACTCGCTCAGGCCTCGCATTTAACGGTCTTATTTCCTTATATCTATATTGTGTCACGGGCGGCAGTCTGTCTCTATCACTCTCGTCTTCTCTCTGTACCTATTCTCATTTGCTCTCTCTCTCTCTCCGCGAGTCACCATGTTCCCTTCCATCCAATTGAAGGTCCTTTTTTCCAAAGTTGCGTCATATAGATTGACCCTTAGATATCCCCTCCAGATACTGAATGATAATGTATCCAATATATGACTATATATATATATATATAAATTCCACTGACTATACTTTGAGGATCAGTGCCTCGGCTGTTCTTGATGTAGCTGCTTACATGATATATTTGTGTGTATGCTTTTTTATCAGTTTTGAAAGGCACATTGAGTCTGGTGTTAGCCAGTTTGTCAATCAACTAGTGAGGGACCAAAAACAGCACAGGAGTCAATGACATCACGAGAGTAGAAGTATAGCCCGTGGCGAATAATGCGAACCCAAGCTGCATTGCTGATATCAATCTCTATGATACAGAACACTAAGATGCAGATGCCAGTCTCTGGTTCTTCCTTTTCCTGCTCTACAAACTTGCTACATGCTACATCTCGTCTGAGCGAGCCGCTTACTGGTCGAGCTTTACGGGGAAGTTTCCGGCCTCTATTACACATATCAGCTGCTGGCTCTCTAGGGAGACGTCGGTGCAAGCGGCACGTATGAAGCAAGGAGTATAATGGGTACTCACCACGCTGGTCGTCCCATCGCGATGTCCAGCCGCTGGGGCACAGAGATTTGTAGGCCAACTTGAACTACGTCCATCTATTAGTACACGCCTTCATTTCCCATGATTCCAAAGGATGCGCACCTGGTTGCAGGGAGCAAAGTCCTCGCCCTTGGCATTGATGCACTTGTGGTAGTCGACGTAGTTTTGCCAGCAGTGCTTGGTCTGGTTCTGGTTGGGGAAGCGGGCATCGAAGCCTATATGCGCCCAAGTCTGTTAGCACCGCGTTTTGCACTCCCAGAGCTCCAGATAACCGCCCTCGGCAGGGGTTCAACTATAGAGAGATTGCGGAATCGGCGTACCAGCTGTGAAGGGACGAGTTAGCTTGGTGTCTGCGATGCGCAGAGTAGCGGGAAAAGCTCACCAGTGACGAACTTGAAGGGCTTGGTGACTAGCTCCTCGCCGTTTTCGCCGTTGTCAGACATGATTGCGGTGGTGCGTCGGGGGTTATTCGAGGTGGTGGGGCGGCAATGGCAGGCGTAGTTGGGCAAAGTGGTGACGGAGGTGAAGTTGTGAGGTTGCGATCATTCCACCCGAGACGCTTTGTCCACACACAATTCGCTCGGCGTTTTCCGGGCAGTCAAGCTCCGCGAGCGAGCTCTCAGCGTGCCTGTGACGAAACCCGTGAAGCTCTTTCGATCCCCAGCGACGACGCCAACTCTCCACTCCCGACCCCAATTGCAAACACAGCAATCCTCCAACCATGTTCAAAGCCACCCGCGCCCTGTCCATGCAGCCAACTCGCATGATGGCCATGCAGCCATCGCGAATGATGGCAATGCAGCCCACGCGGTTGATGGCCATGCGCCAGAGCCCCCAGCTCTTCGTGAGGCAGACCATGGCCCTGCGCAGCCCCGTCCCCGTATGTTCTCTTGCCTTTCTCTTGATTCTGGCGAATGGCTTGCTAACAAGGCGTAGAAGGAGGAGCACAGCGGTAGGCCAATCACAGCCTGGCTTTCGATGCCGCTGCAACCAACTTGAATTGACAATGCAACAGCCCACACCGTTTCGCAGCGTCTCCGCCAGCTTAAGAACATCCCCACGGAGATTTGGCCCCTTAGTATGTTGAAGCCCTCCCTCTTTTTGGTGCTTGCAGGGATCCTTTGCTAACCTCATTCCTTAGTCGTCGTTCTCGGGTAAGCCCCTCATTTCCGCATCACCTACTCACTGTACAGGTGGTCTGATATACGTGTAGCGTCGCCATCGTCATGGCCTTCTTCTCCATTACCCGAAAACTCTGGGTCGACAAGACCCTCCGCCTCAAGAGGCAGGGCAAGCAGGAATAGATGCTTGGAACAGGTCTCCAGAAATGGCGGAATCGGCGGGCTTGGAAGGGCTCCAGCGGCCATGTGTATAGGTACAGCATACGGGACTGAGTCCTTGTCAAGTTCAGAAATCAAGCATCGGATTTCCTTTGTGCTATGCCTTTGTTTCTCATATGGTGAAGATTGGCACGTCTGGTAGTAGTTGTTATCGCTCAAATCAAGATTGAATAATTACTTCTAATAGCATGTGGTATCAAATGCACTTTTCCCCAAACGCCGGCATACACCATACTAGACACCTCATTCAAGCCAAACAACAGACTTCATGCTGGCTTAGGTCCAGCTTCATCCAAACCCTCCAGGCCTTGCATGGGGTCCATGGGTCCATTTGTTTCATCCTGGGCCTGCTCATTGGCTTTGCGGTCCTCCTCACTCACAGCATGCTTCGCCAACCACCCCTCCTGCATTCTTGTCAGTGCACCGGTTGACGCACGAATATGCTTGTATTGAAGACACGTACCTGTTCCCAAATAGCCGTCTTGCTGCCTAGTCCTTCGTTTGCATCTTTCTGCGGTTTGGCTGGCGCTACCTTGATCACAGATCCGTAGAGCTCGCTCCGATCCATATTATCAATCGCATCGACCGCGTCGGCTGCAGTTTCAAACTCCACATATCCAAATCCACGATGCTGCTCGCCCTGGCTTTGGTTTTCTGGCTTGGGAAGGTTCACCTCGACAATGTCGCCAAAGGGCAGGAACGCGTGGAAGAGCGTTTGTTGTGTTACCGCTTGGTCGAGCCCGCCGACGAATACCGTGGCCTTTAGTCGCGAAGTATCAGACAGGTTGGACATGGTTGCATGTGGTGTGCGATGCGATACTGGTTCACAGAGTAGTCGTGTTGTAGAGATTGAGTGGAAATTCGATATCACGTGGCCACTTAGCGGGACCCACACATCGGGCGCCGCCCGCGCGATGGACCAGGGAAGGACAGGTGGATGATTGCATGGTGAAGCACGTCGTTGCCTCGAATCTCACTCCGCGCTTCTGACACAATTCCGATTCTCCTTTCTCCCACTTCTACGTCTTGTCTCGCTCTACAAGAAATTTCCATCAGTTCCTTGTTTTGTTGCTTGTCAATTACCCAATTCTCTAGTCTGACGCCATTGAGGTGCAAGCACCGCCCACCGTCATGGTCCGTCTACGAGAAGTCCCACGGACGGCCGCTTTTGCCTGGTCGCCCGGTCCAACGCAGCCCCTCATTGCAACTGGAACAAAGGCTGGAGCTGTAGACGCCGACTTCTCCAACGAAACCCAGCTAGAGCTTTGGGAACTTGGCTTGGACGACAGTGAGCAGGGCGTTGAGCTCAAGCCAGTTGCGACTGTAAGCGTAGAATCACGGTACATGGGCAATGGCATCTACAAAAGATGGAGCAGCTACTGAACATTTCTCTAGATTTAACGACATTGCATGGAGTCAACCTAGTGAACAATACCCCCATGGAGTAATAGCGGGCGCGCTCGATAGCGGGGTATTGATACTATGGGACGCGGAGAAGTTAAGGGCAGGTGAAGGGTCAGAGCATTCTCAGCCCAGCGAGTGATTACGCAGAGCTGACTTTGTGCAGTGACGAAGCCGAGATTGACCAGATCGAGAAGCACACTGGCCCAATCCAAGCGATACAATTCAACCCATTCCGGCCGAACATCCTCGCATCCGCAGGCGCCAAAGGCGAACTGTTCATTCACGACATTGACGACGAATCCAAGTCGTTCCGCTTGGGCAAGGCTGGAGCCAACCCCGACGAGTACACCGCATTGGATTGGAACAAGAAGGTTGCGCATATTCTTGCGACTGGAAGCAGTGGTGGCTTTGTCACTGTTTGGGATGTCAAGTTGAAGAAGGAGAACCTCACACTGAACCACTACGGGCGAAAGACTGTCAGCGCAGTATCATGGGATCCCAATGTGCCCACGAGACTGGCCACTGCCATCCCAACCGACCAGAACCCGCTTGTACTGGTTTGGGATCTGCGCAATACTAATGCGCCCGAGAAAACCCTACAAGCGCACGATCAGGGTGTACTATCCCTTTCGTGGTGTATACAAGACAGCGACCTTCTCCTGTCCTGCGGCAAGGACAACAGGACAATTGCTTGGAACCCTCATACTGGTGAGCTTTTGGGTGAATTCCCTGTAGTGACCAACTGGACTTTCCAGACGAGATTCAACCCTGCGAACCCAAACCTCCTCGCAACCGCCTCCTTTGACGGCAAGATTGCGATCCAGACATTACAAAACACTACCGCTGCTGCAGACCACAAGAAGGCAGCCACCCAAGCACCCGAGGGAGAGGATTTCTTTGCGCAGACACATGCAGAGCCCCAGGGCGCATCGTTCTCGCTCAAGACACCCCCAAAATGGCTGAAGAGGAGAGCGGGTGCGGCTTTTGGCTTCGGTGGAAAGTTGGTACGATTTGGCATCGTTGACAACAAGTCAAAGGTCTCGATTTCGACTTTTGCGGTAGACTCTGAAGTCAGCACAGCCAGCGAAGAGTTCGACAAGGCTTTGCAGGAGGGTAACTTCACTTCAATCTGTGAATTAAAAATATCAAAGGCAACCAACGAGGAGGAAAAGGCTGACTGGACCGTAATCGAGACGCTGATTTCAGAAAACCCACGCAGCAAACTCATCGAGTACCTTGGCTTCTCCGATAAAAAAGAAGAAGAGGCGGAAGAGGAGAAGACGGAAGACAAGACCAATGGCGATGCAGATGCCAATGCTGACGAAGGTGCCTCGTTTTTCGATAATGCGACCAACGAGGGCAACTTTCTCTCCGACCTTGCGGCTTCCAAGGGCGCGAAGACCAACAATCCCTTCCAGATCTACACTGGCTCGGAGTCGGAGGCGGATACCAAGATCACTCGCAGTCTTATGCTAGGAGATTTCAACGCGGCATTAGACGTTTGTCTGAAGGAAAACCGACTGTCAGATGCTTTCATGATCGCTATCTGCGGTGGCGAGAAGTGCATCGCCAAAGCACAAGCTGCATACTTCAAGAAACAGGCAGACGCGCCAAACTATCTTCGCCTTCTTGCATCTGTTGTTGGAAAGAACCTATGGGATTTCGTGTACAACGCTGATCTCAAAGACTGGAAGGAAGTCATGGCTACCATCTGCACATTTGCCGACCAAGCCGACTTCCCTGATCTGTGCGAGGCCCTTGGTGATCGTCTGGAGGAGGCCTTCTCAGAGGGAAATGTTTCCTACCGCAAGGATGCATCTTTCTGTTACTTGGCTGGTTCCAAGCTCGAGAAGGTCGTCGTCAACTGGGCGCAGGAATTACAAGAAAATGAGAAGGCTAGCATTGAGAAGACGGATAGCGACAACAGTTTCTCTATCCACGCGCGATCACTGCAAGAGTTTATTGAAAAGGTCACCATTTTCCGAAAGGTGACTGACTTCAAGGACACTGAACAGCAAAAGGATGCCGACTGGAAACTCGAGCCTTTGTACGCAAAGTACGTCGAGTACGCTGATATCGCATCCGCCCATGGACAGTTGTCGATTGCCGAGAGGTACTTGGATCTACTCCCTGAAAAGTACCCAGCAGCAGATGTGGCGAGAAATCGTGTCAAGCAAGCGACAAGGAAGGCCACAACTCAACCAGCAAGTGCCCATAGGCCCACTCAGTCTACTGCCAGCGGACGACGCCAGGTTGTGGTTCCCTCGTATGGTCAACCTGCCCAAGCAACACCGGTACCACCTCAACAGACGCCATACGCTCCAACCAACCCACTCCAGACACAACCGGGAGCGTCGCCTTACGCCCCAATCAATCCTTTGTCGCAACAAGCCCAAGCTGCCGTACGATCACCGTATGCGCCAGCGGGCGCAGCGTCTGGTAATGCCTACACCCCTGCTGGCTATCAGCCATCTCAGGCGTCTGTACCCCAACCAAGTTACGGTGGCTTCAACCAGACCCCACAGCAAAATCCAATCGCACCTCCGCCACGCAACTTCTCCAACTCTCCATCCATTGTACCTGCAGCCAACAGAGGCCATATTCCAGCATGGAACGATACGCCAGACTTTGGCCCGCCGAAACCAGCGTCACGCCGCAGTACTCCGATGAATGCTGTAGCCTCTCCATTCCCAAACCAGCAGCAGCCAATGGCAGGTCCGCCACAAGGTCCGTTTTCCCCTGGAGCAAGGTCAACACCACCCCCACCACCAAAGGGTCCTCCATCTGGTCCTCCACGAGCAGGCACTCCAAGTCAGTACGCCCCATCGCCAGCAGCTAGCACCTATGCTCCTCCACCACCTGCTGGTTTTGCGGCACCACCACAAGCACCAGTACAACGTGGAGCATCGCCATACACACCTCCAACAGCCGCTGCACCACCCTCGAACCGCTATGCTCCCGCCCCAGGATCGCAGCCATCGGCTCCGCCAGGACCAATGGCTGGGATGCCCCCGCCGCGCAACATTGCACCACCACCAGGTCAATTTACCCCCGCGGCATCGCCTTACGCACCTTCACCTGTCCAGCAAACGCCTCCTCTTGCCGCCGCAGCTCCCCCACCAAGAGGCCCTCCACAAGGCCCCCCACGCGCTGGACCCCCTCAAGGAGGTCCACCAAGACCTGATTCTCAGCCCAGGACTGAACAATCCCAAAGTGCTGCCCCAGTAGCGGCCAAGCATCGTAAGTGACTTTTAACCCACCACAATGAATCCACTCTCCTCCATCAAACTATACCTACAGTTGAGCAATTTTTGCTAATTTCCAAAAGCTGCTGGTGATCGATCACACATACCCGATGAAGCTCGGCCAATCTATGAGATTCTCGATGCAGAGCTTCAGCGCGTCAAGAGCAAAGCCCCCGCCCAGTACAGGCAACACGTTGCCGACACTGAGAAGAGACTTAACATCTTGTTCGACCATCTTAACAACCAGGATCTTCTCAAGCCGGACACTATTCAGCAAATGAATGAATTGGCGGCCAACATCCAAGCCAAGCAGTTTGACACGGCTGTTGCCATCTTCTCGGAGCTGATGACTAACAAGACGGATGAGGGCAGCAACTGGATGGTAAGTTGAATACCAGGAATTGGCGTTTTGAGAACATGTACTAATTTTGGAATAGGTTGGTGTCAAGCGCTTGATTCAATTCAGCAAGTCAACTGCTTAGGGGGGTTACGCTGCTGCAAAGCTCAGAACTGTCCCTGAAGAGCCCGTTGTGGCGTGAGAGTAGTATGGATGATGAAGGTCGAGACGATTGAAGAGTTTTTGTGCGCCAATATCATGTATGTGATAGAGGATATGCAATATACATTGAGTCATTATCCGTGTGAGTTTGATTGAGATAGTGGTGACGACCATAAGAATAGAGACAGTCAGCATGTGGTGTCAATCAAACTTTGTAATTGCTTAAGTGCCTGTGGAAAAGATGCATGGCGCAAACTAGAGGATGGTATTCAAAAATGAAAGCGGTGATGTGATTTCGCGTGTTGGACGAGGTGGAGAGGGGCTGCCCATGTCCCACCTGTAGATGCCAAGATGCGGCCATTCGCGCTACGGGGAAGTGCACTAAGAATCTCTCGAGTCTCCGCAATTGCAGTTCAACACCACAGCACAGCAACCATGGTACACATATTAAGTCGCATGCGCAAGTTGCGCGAGGTGAGCAATCTACTTTTACAATCGGCTTCTGGTCATTGAATAGGGCTGACGAATATTACAGAAGGTATGTTGATTTCTGCCACGAGCACCTCCGAAAGCGTCGCCCGCAGTCCGACATGCGAGGTTGAAATGCGTAAAAAATACAACAGACGGCTGATAGTGCTACTCACAGTTGCTATGGATAAGGTGCGGGCCTGGCGCTCTTATATTACCGAAGGAGGTATCCAAGATTAGCATGGAGTTCAACACGAAGATTTATGGAGGCCACCGAGGGGCAAGGTATGCTCGAAATTATCCTCCAAACGGCCCAGACGATGGATCAGTCGATTGGGACAAGGCGACGCCGCATATTAAGATTGTGAACAGGAAATTCTGGCGTGAGATGCTACCGCGAATAAAATACCGAAACCCATCCGTCCCAATTCAAATTTCACGGCACAACGACGCAGACGGACCAGCGCTCCTCCACATCTACACGGCTTCGAAGACCCAACCCGCAGCCGGTACTACCAACGCACCTGTAGCACAGCAATCAGACTCTACACCGCCATCTGGTACACCGAATGCACGCAATACTCTCGTTCCTGATACGTCGAAGCCTACATATACGATCAACATAAGGGACCAGATGGAGAGTGAGATCTTAGAGGCGCTGGTTGCGCAGACTGGTGCGCAGGAGATTAAGCCGACAGAGCAGGAATTGGCAGAGATGCGGGAGATTGCCGAGTTCAAGGAGAGGAGTGAAGCAGACAGGATACAGGTCAGGGAGAGGTTATTGAAGGAGCGCAGAGAGGCTGAGCTGCTCAAGTTGGCGAGGGGAGAGGTACCGGCAACAAACTAGGCGTTTCGACATGACTGGGGAAACATGCCATCTTGGACGAAGGAGAAACATGTGGAGTGAATGGAGGGCATTGGCACAGGGTCCGTATTGCATTCGATTGGCTCTGTAGCTGAACTACTGTATAACATGTACATTTTCAAAGACATAGGCATAGGATGAGTCCAAGACGTGCATTTCAAGTTGCAAGCAGCAGCCTCTTAGCATCTCGTCGCAAACCCGTGAAATTACGTCCCATTCCGTATTCCGCGTCCTGCATCATGCAACGAACTGCATAGCACATGACGCCATTGTTTATAAACATGCAATCGAGGTCGCGTGAAAAGAGCGCAAGGGCGAAGCTATCGAGATGAACGATGCTCAAAGTTTCACACAAAGTCGCGCCAGAAGCAAAAGCTGCAGTACTCGGCATAACGAGAATATGTAGCCGACTGGGTTAGTCCCAAGCATCAATGGCCGACGGCCTAGCAAAAGGGAGACGGAATCAGTCTGCCTGACAGACAACCATACACCGAGCTCAAACCTTTCGGTGAGCTCAGGCTGCCGGAAGCTGCCAAAGTTGTTCTCCGCTCCTGTCGTCCGAAACAATCTACCGGGAAGAAGATGGCTCCATAATGGACGAGCTGTCAGCATCTACAACCGATACACACTGCCGCAGAGAGCAAGCCCTCTGGGCGGTGGATGGGAGATTCTGACACAGGGCGTTGGTGGAGAGAACAAAGCTTGAGGCCGACGAACTTTTTTTATGCGATCCGGCAAATCGTCGGCGCGCCGTCCGTGCTAGCGCCTTGGCGCGAAACTGCTGCTTCGGAGGTGCCATGTTGCCCGCAGCCTACCCACACCATCCAACGCCCGACTCTCACTACCTGGTAGATCGAGAAGGACGCATTCACCTTCCTCGGGCTGCTGCCTACTTATAAGAAAAAGTAGGTACACTGCTTCTTCTCTGTACCCTGCTTGCGACCCTATCCGACCGGGGGTATACTGCTTTTCTGTAACGCGACTCCCTTATTTGACCATCCTCCCGCAACCACCTCCACCATGGTCGACCTATCCATCGATGAGGCGAACAAGATTCGCCTGTCTATGGGCCTTCCTGCCCTCCCAGGTGGAAGTGCTTCCGCAGCGCCCGCAGCGCCCTCCGGTCTCGATTTCAAGCCTGCCAAAGATGACGACGACTCGGACGGAGAGCCTGCAAGCACCATCGATACGCGTCAGGCCGCTGCTTCTGATAACTGGAAGAAACTCGAGGAAGAAAGATTGGCCAAGATCAGGCGCGAGGAGCGTGCCGCCGCAATTAAGAAAGAACGCGAGAGGGCATCGCGCTTTACCAAACTCGAAGGCAAGGGACTGGCGGATGAAGCGGACGTTGACGATGACTTGGCTTGGTTGAAAAGTAGCAAGAAGCGCCAGAAGAAGATCGCCAAGGAAGAACAAATGCGCAAGGAGCTGGAAGAGCGCGAGCGCCAGGCGCTTGAGGCTATGCAGTACACCGATAAAGACCTTGCGGGCGTCAAAGTTGGACACGAGCTAGACGAGTTCGACGACGAGGACCAGATTTTGGTGCTCAAGGACACTGCAGTCGATGCCGAAGACGAAGATGAGCTCGAGGCGGTTGCGCTGAGGGAGAAGGAGCGGCTGCAAGAGCGACTCGATTCCAAGAAGCGAAAGCGCGTTTATGACCCCAACGACATGGACGAGTCGGGTCAAAAGTCGATTTTGGCACAATACGATGAGGAAATTGACGGCAAGAAGAGCAAGGCTTTCACACTAGATGGCAAGGGCCGGACTGTCGAGGCTATCCAGGCTGAGGCTGAAGGTGCTGCAAAGCCAAAGAAGGTTGCCATCAGTCTTGACATACTCAAAGAAGATGCGCCTGCAAATGATTACATGGATGTTTCGGAGGTCAAAATGAAGAAACCCAAGAAAAAGAAGAGCAAGAAGTCCAAGCGGGAGCGTGTCGAAGATGAGGACGAAATGCTCGCCATGCCTACGGAGCCTGCAGCTGACGACATGGAAGTTGATGGCGGAGAAGCCGCTGCACCACAACAGAAGAAGAAGGTTTTCGACGAATCCTTCATAGACGATGATGATCTTCAGGCAAACCTTGCGGCCCAGCGTCAAAAAGCCCTCAAAAAGCGCAAGAAGATGCGACCAGAAGATTTGGCACGACAACTGCGCGAAGAAGCTACCACCCCCCAACCTGACATCCTTGAATCTACCGAAGATGGAGATGTCGGGTTAGTCATTGACGAGACGACTGAGTTTGTTTCGAATTTGGGTGCGGCTGGTGATGAAGAAGAAGAGGCACGCCGGAAACGTAGAAAGTCAAGCCACATCTCTGAAGGCACCAAGTCAATGGGCGACATTCCAGTTGCTGACGAAGATGGCGATGTAGAAATGGGCCAATCATACGCTGAAGCAGCAGAAGCAGAAGACGCAAGGAATCGCAGCGTCTCGCGTGCTCTTTCCACCGAAATTACCGAAACAGGTCTCGAGGCTGAGAAGACTGTTGATCAAGGTCTAGGCGCCACGCTTGCCCTGCTCAAGCAACGAGGACTGGTCGCCGAATCTGACGCTGGTGAGAAGAATGCCTTGTACCGTGAACGCCAGAAGTTCATGGCCGACAAGGCTAAGGCCGAGGCGGAAGCTGAACGTCAACGCAAGATTGTTCGTGAGCGCGAGCGAAATTCTGCCCGTTGGAATAACATGACGCCTCGCGAGCGCGAAGAATGGGCCCGCAAGAACAACACCAGCGCAGACATGGTCGAAAGCCGTCGTCTCGCCGAGCTCTTTAACAAGGAGTACACGCCAAACATCGAGCTCAAGTATGTCGATGAGCATGGTCGTCAAATGAACCAGAAAGAGGCGTTCAAGCAGCTCAGTCACCAATTCCACGGCAAGGGCAGCGGTAACACCAAGACGAAGAAGCATCTTGAGAAAATTGCGGCTGAGAAGAAGAAGATGGCCGAGAGTTCGCTCGATTCCAGTCGAAGCGGAGGCGGTGGTTTGGGCAACGCGTTTGACGACCAAGCCAAGAAGAAGGGTACGGCTGGTGTCCGCTTGCAATAAACCTCACCCGAGTCGCAAATTGCGCTTCGAGACATACAAAAGGTCAGTAGCTCTCGAAAGCTGTATTTTTTTAGAAACTTGATCATTAATGCAAGATTGGTTATAGAGCGGTTTTTTTCCTCTTATTCGAAAGTGATGACGGTACGATACCAGTGGTTTTTTTGCGTTTGATACTGATATACAGGTCATTATACGCTGGTGCTAGGTCTTGACTAGTGGACAGTCGGTCATCTTGTAAGTTTTGTTAAATGTATGATGGTAAGTGTTTGATTAGCACTGGTACTTAATGTACAGGTGAGTTTATGCTTAGTGACGTGACATGCACAAGGTATCCAGCGCCTTGAAGAGAAGAAAAAAGTTACCACTCTCTTTGGGACATACTCAAGCTCGTCTGAATCGACTGAGCCTGCCGATTCAGATGGCAAATTGGGTCGATATGCCTGAATGTCATGATCCTCCGACTGTTGCTTACGTGCTCATATCAAGGCTATGATTCTACATAAAACCATATGATAGCAATTGAAGTAGATTTACAGCAACGTGAATACAGATGATTACTTTAAATCATTGTCTCATTTGAAACCCAAAATCTACATCTGCAACTCTTGCAATTCGACATTCCAGTCTAAAGAGAAGAGGGTATAAAGAAAACCCGCAAAAAAAAGCGGAAGCTTGAAAGAGAGAGAGAAACCCCCCCCCTCCATCATAATACATGCCAAACTATGCCCCTATTCTGATTCCGCCCCCAAAAAAAGACAAAACGCCCGTATATGCACATACACACATTTCTTCCAACCTACTCATACACCCCCCATCGCCTCACCCGCCCTCATCTCAACATAATACCCCGGATCCGGCCGTCTCGCCTGACGCATCTGCTCCTTGCTCATCGGAACCGCCACCTCCTTGACATCGACCAACTCTTTTATGCGCATGATCTGGCCCGCGACTGATTGCGAGACGGGATGGTAGACGGTTGTCATGCGCTTGCGGAGGCCGAGGGCTTTGAGTACGCCTTGGGTTTTGGCGGGCATGCCGATGCCGGAGCGCATGAGGGTTATGCGGAAGTATGACATTTTTTTGGGTGTGTTTTTGGGGGGTGTTTTTTTTGTGGTTCTGTACGCGCACCGCGAGTGTGGATGGGTTTCGGCGCGTTTGAGGATGGGTGGTGGGTGAGGTTTCGTGTGGTGGAGGGTTTCTTGGTTGGTTTTGGTGGGCGGGCGGAGGAAAGAAGGACGCTGAAGATTTGTTAGAGAGTGATAGCAATTGATGGCTTCGGTGTTGTTTCGTACAGTTGCTGGTTATGTTGTGGCGTTCACAAAGCTCGTTTGCAGACTTGCAATCGTCGTTGTCGTGGGCTTTTCCGACGAAAGAGTGATGGGGGAGTGGGCTAATCCCAAGATGGTTTAGGGGGCGGATGGGAGCTAAAAGCCCACCTTTCCATGCTCGTAGTCTTTACTCCATCGCTCGTATGAAGACGGCTTTAAATCACGATTTATTGTTACGGGATATTCTATCAATTCAAAAGTCGTGATGAATAGGTAGCGGTAAGCATATACTGACAATCACATTCTACGGTCTACCATGCAAGCTGCCTTCCTTCCGTATTGCTGAACATAGTGCCATGAATGCCCGCTTCTACAACATGTCTCGCAGCGGTACATTCACCAATTTACTCGGAAGGTAACTAGCCTCCGCTGCTATGATTCAGGGGTACTTAGCCTATGGTTATGCTGGGGGGAACCACTTTTGCTTTTCCCCTGTTGCATGCGTCAACTCGTTTGCTAGCACGGTACCGGCTCTATGGGTTCCGCGAAACGACAGAGCAGCAGCATGCTTTGATAGTTCAACATAGCTTGGGGGCAAAGATGGGTTTTTCGTTGTTCAGATGTGTGATCATTGGAGTTCAACATAGTAGTGGGTCTGAACTACTTGTCTGCATAAGGTATGATGAAATATATTATCTCTAGTTTTTCGAACATGTACTTCCCTTGACAGTTTGAGCGGCTTGTTGTCCAAAATACCTTTATCCGATCGCTTGTTCATTCTTCCACAATATTCAAGTTTCTCGCCCTTTTCATCTTTGAGATGATACATTTTTCGTTAGTCGGCTGCTGTCCCGATTCTTCAAACGATCTGTCTTGCGGAGATTTTACCCGTCTGCATGCAGTTACCCAGGCATCCACCCATTGGGGACATGAAACAAAACAGGTCAGAGTATACAAGTTTATACAAGCCTACCGGAAAATGTATCAGATGCAGCTAGTCTATGGGCAAGCACCAAATGAGTAGCCTAGTCGCGGCACCGGGCCATCCTTTCCAACGGGCTCAAGCCACTCCCGATAGCCTGGTCGGCACTGCAGAATGTTCCCATAGTGCGAATATGGCCATCTCTTTGTTGGAGTCTCGGGAAGTCAACAACTCGAGCTGGAGAAAGAAATAAATGTGCATCTCCGTTCGGGAAATGGAAGGCAACATTGCCAACGAAGTATTGATCTGCGTTGCATGCACCTGTTCCGTTTGAACAGCATTTTTGACCGCTTCTCTTCTGTACAAGAAAAGAGAAGTGAGGTGGAGAGGAGGGAGCGAGACAGAATATAAGTGTGACTCTGGACCGGTCTATAATGAGATGTAGGATTGGTAAATCGGAGTAGACATGCAGTGCAAACGCTCTTAGTCCTTGTCATCATAATCTTTTCTTGCAGTTCTGACCTATTTTATTATCTTTCGGGGGCTGGAAATTTATATTTGATAAAGCACCAGGAGAATACACCAACTAATCATCCTTCCAACTCTCTTCAGTCGATTGTCATCATGGCGGGTACATAAATTCCCCCCTTCTCTCCACACCACAACAACACTGACAATCCAAACCAGCCCTTCATTCAATCACAACACCCTCTTCCTCTCCGCTCTCCACCTCATCAACTACACCCGCCCCCACCGCCATCCCACCCCTCGTCTACCGCGTCCACCGCAGCACCTCGCAAACCCGCTACTCCTTCTCCACCGGCTTCAGCGCGAAAAACCAAACCACAATCGTAAACTACACCTCGGCCCTCTCGCGCTTCGGCCTCGCGCACCTCAACCAGCAAACCAACATCTCGTCGCCCTTCATCAGCGTCTACGACAACGCCGCGCACGCCGAAGCCGTAGCACGGTATTTTGGCGAGAGATACCAGGAGGATACGTGGGTTGTTAGTGTTGATCCTGCGCATTTTGCTAGGGGTCCGGTGTTTCGGGCGGCGGATTTGTTGAGGGAGGGTGGGGAGGGTGGTGCAGAGAGTGGGAGTAGTAATAGTAGTGGGAGTAGTGGTAATAGGAACAAAGGGAAAGGGGCGGTGGATGGTGCGGATGAGTGGTTGCATTGGGGGGAGTATTTGGTCATGTATCGGATTCCTGCGCAGGCGATAAGGGATCAGACGCCTGTTGCGAAGGTGGGGGATCCGCTGAGGAGAAGGGTGGGGGTTATTGGAGGTGGAGGTGGTGGTGCTTGAGGTAACACATGGTGATGGTGTGAGAGTAAGGGATTCAAAAGTATCTTTTTTCTTTATTGCTTCTTGTTCTTCTCATGCCGTTTGTCGGAGGGAGATATTGGCACTCTCTTTCTTCCCAAGCTAGTTTGTATGTTTATTGCCAGGCGTTGGTGTTGATGTCCACATTCAGATGTATACTTGATTCATCCACATCTCCTTCCCCATTTGCCAACCAACTTCACATCCCTCTCCACCCACTGCTCATTCGTCCAACATACCAATCAATACCTCGCCAAAGCGACCTCACACCCTTCCATAGAGAAAGGTATGCCAGTACACTTGCACCCTCTTTCTCCTTCTTTTTCTTCTTCTTCTCTTCCTCCTCGTCCTCTTGGATGTGGTCTACCTTGGGAGGCGTGATGGATCTGGTTGTCCGAAAGGCTGCGGCAAGACTATAGCTTCGCGGCACATGTGACAGGCTGCTGCGCCGCTGGGGCGCCTTTGGTAAGAAGTTAATCTGGCTCTTTGAGGTGGAGAGTCTGTGTGGTGGCATTTTTGATGCCGAGAAGGTGGTTACATTTGTTGGCGAGAGCGTTGGTTTGAGAAAGTAGGCGTTTGGAGAGAATTTTGTAGTTGTGAAATTCTAAGACAAGAAGATGAGGAGAAGAGGACAAGGAGAAGAAGAACAAGGCGGAACAGGTCTTTTGATGCAGAGAGGCATGGAGATGTGTGGGTGTGTAAGTGGGCCGAGGCTACATCGACAAGGGCAATGTTGGTCGGCATGATGATACGGACCGACTAGTGCATGTGTGATGGTGAGGTGTGGTTGGCCTTGGTTAGCAGCCCTGCAGGGCATGTCACGCGTCATGGAGTGAAACTTGGTTCCAGACCATGCAAAGCACTATGGCTTGCTGTCTAGATCGCATCATAGGCCTGTAGTTGAATCTCAGCCCCTTCCAATATTTCTGATCGCAGTATGACAACATGTTGGAGGAACGAAAGGCTACAGTGAATGAATCGTCGAAACCTTGGAGTTGGAAAAAGAAAAGAAAAGCAAAAAAGCATTCAAGTATCGATAACATGACTGACTGTGTGGCTGATGCATGCGCCTGACTAAGAGCATGGAAATGAAGCTAACCATGATAAATATTGGTGAGGCTTCGTGAGAGCAAGGCCGTCAGCCTGTAATCCAGGCGCTTCAGCAGTGCCCTCTACACACTGTATGCACGTGATGTGGTTGTGACTACGTCACACATGTCAAGTGGAGCATGCACGGCCGTTGGGTACGAAAAGAAGAATGGACGGAGAAGCAAAAAGTAGAATTTCTATTTTGAAACAAACGTGGGTTACGTCGACGATGCAGAAGAGAGCAAGGTTCCGATGTTTGAGGTAGGTTGCCAAAGTTTCAAAGACGGGAGATGCATGCATGCGTGTGTATGTGCGTGTGCAACATGCACATATATTGCGAATTCAGCAGAGTAAAACTGCATGTACAGGTACTATACATAAGAGAGATGAGGTACGAGGGACATGTGCAGACTTTGGAATGAGGTGTGAAAAGGGTGTGGATTCTAGAACGTGTGGCTTGTCAAGAGCAGCCGGAGCAGGGCGTATTACAACTCCCAACTAGCCATTAGCCTGGATGTATGATAGGCTCGGGAGAAAAGGCGAGGGCATTTGGGCCCTGACTCGCGGGTCACGGCATCTGACAGCAGGGCACGCGTGGTGGTGCAGAAAGGGAGGGCGACCGGCCGAAGGTGATGTCGATCGTAAAGAAGGTTAAATTAGGGTGGCACATGGGCTAGAGGGTGCAGCAGTCGAGCAAGTACAGCATCAGCCACAAGGCCACATGTGGTGCATATGGCAAATGCCTGTGCCAGGAAGATGTCGGGACCGTTTCCGACGCCGTTTCACATTGCTAGGGCTAGTGCAGACGAGAGGGCTGATGCAGTGTGGCGGGGGCCAAGGTGAATGTGCAAAGGCGTGTGCCAGGGTGGACGTGTGTAGCGTGCCCTTGAGTCGCGTGCAGCGATCGCGGACAGGCCAAGCCAAGTTG